CTTAATTTATTGATGAGGATGGGGTGAGAGACAAAGGCCTTCTTAAAGTCTAGAAAGACTACATCCACAGCGACACCATCATCCAAGGATTTAATTACTTGGTCATAAAAGGCAATCAGGTTGGTCTGGCAGGACCTGCCTTTGAACCCATGCTGATTGCCCCTGAGCATGATCTCCCTTGCAGGCCCCCCACAGATGTGCTCCTTGATGATTCCCTCCAAGATCTTCCCGAGCACTGAGGTGAGGCTTACAGGCCTATAGCTGCTTGGGTCCTCCTTCCTCCCCTTCTTGAAAATTGGCACCACATTAGCCGGTTTTCAATTCCCCGGCACCCGGTCAGATGACCACGAATGCTCATATAGCCGGGCCAAGGGCTCCATGATGACCCCTGCCAGCTCCCTCAACACCCTTGGGTGGAGGGCATCTGGACCTGCAGATTTAAAAATGTCTAGCCCTTCCAGAAGATCCCTAACTACATCTGCGCTGACTGAAGGCCTGATAGAGCTATTCCCAAGATTGTCCCTACCTCTGGTAGGTGGGATATCCTGGTCCCTGTTCAAGAAAACAGAGGCAAAGAACTGTTAAAAATATCAGCTTTCTTGTCTGGCGTAGCCACAAGATTACCGTTTGTGTCTTGCAGGGGCCCTACGTTGACTGGTGCCCTCTTCTTGTTCCCAATGTACTTGAAAAAGGACTTTTTGTTGTCCTTAATCCTGGACACTAGCCTGAGTTCCATCTCTGCCTTGGCCTTCCTAATAGCCCTCCTACACTCCCAGGCCGAAGAGGAGTGCTCTTGGGTAGCTTTTAAATGCTAAAGGTGAACTGCTACTTAAAAAGTTTGAAGACCACTGTTTTAGAGGCATCCTTAAATTGTCAAATAAAGGAAAAGCATTCTCTGAGTGATCCATCTTGAAATGGATAGGACTGCAGATTGTATTTGTTGCTCCTCCATGCCAATGGGACTCTCATGGCAATCAAGTGAAATAGATCAGTTGCTTAAAAACTAGGGAATAGAATGTCTGCAATTCATTAAATATTTTGGAACCATTGTTGTCACTGGTGGTTGGATATCCAGCTAGTTTCTGGAGCAGGTCACCTGCAATTACTTGGCTGTTAAAGTATTTGTTTGGTAAAACTGATATTTGATTCTATAGTTTTTCTTTTTCAAATAGTTGATAAGTAGCTTAGTTGATGGTTTGTCCCTAGATCATTCTGGGTTTTTTCCCTCTTCATTGTAACAAGGGGTTGAGTACCAGTACAGAAAAGACGGATTCTGATTTCAGTGACGTTAACAAAACTATAGTTGCATAAGGTTTATACCACAGGACCTGAGATCAAAATCTATCTTGAAATGTTCTGTCAAATAGTAAAGAAAGTATAGTGTTGTTTTGAGGTTTCTTTCCATTGTTTTATTACTTTACAGGCTAATTTCCCAAACATGGTGCAGCACTATTTTCCCAGGTTGGCATGTACAAAACCCCAGTGGCAGAGTGGCTGATCAGAACTTTCCAAATTGTGGCTGAGTGAAGATTAGTATTTGTGTTTACTGCTGTTCAAAACTAGGCAAGAGTGAAATGAGCAAGCACTGGGCTACTTTCACTTTACTGTTCTAGGGGAAGATAGGAACAGCAGCAGAAGTAGATAGTAGAACTGTCAAATGGAGAAGATGACCCAAAAATTGGGAGAACGTTATAGTTGTAGACAAACAGTATACACTGCTTTTTTCCTCCTCCGCATCCTTACAGGACTAGAAAGGTGAGGAAACAGTAGAGCATTGGGGAGATGTCCCAAGTGCCCAATGAAGGGGCCTGGGAATAAGGAACCAGTGAAACAGTACACTGCTCTCTGCATGTAGCCAAAGGTTTACAGTAAAGAGCTTATTAACACACACACAGTAGAAATTGCTAGGTCTAGGATCAACACACTGGTAGCTATCTTCCATTTTCCCAGTTGTGCATAAATTGAGATGGAAGCAGGTTTTTCACCTTTGGGTTCCTTCACCCCCTCCAGTTTTTATTTTTGTTATATCTGTTTCTCTAGTAGATTTAGTCCTCTTATACAGTCTACTATAAGTTGTCTGGTAAAAATCCAGAACAGTTCATGAGTGCATGGAGGAAGTTTGGATGGTGTGATTAAGTGCCTGGATGGGAGAGTGATTTAGAGGATTTGTTTGAAAAACAGAATAAGAGTATATCAAGAAATTTGGGGAGAGATTTTGGAGTAGAAAGAAGAATCATGAGAGGAAGTTGAGAAGACAAATGTTATGCATCTTTTTAGGGGTTTAGGTTGTAGCCGTGTTGGTCTAAGGACATAGGCAGACAAGGTTCCTTGGGTGAATTTGATATCTTTTATCTTTATCTTCTGGGTTGGTCTAATAAAAGATATCAGATTCACCCAAGGAACCTTGTCTGCCTATGCATCTTTTTACAGTTTTTCTTGAATAATTTATTTAACAACTGTTTGTAGTATCAGCACTATAGTTCATCAGATATTTTCTGACAAATATACTGATAAATCTGAGAAGTAATATGTCCAGCAAATTCACTGCCCTGCGTCTATGCAGGTGAATGTCACCTAGCACCTTACTATAAAGTGATCACTCAGTGAGAAAGGAAAGGCAATTGGCGATTTAAGAAAATGGCAATGACATCTGTTACTTGCAGCTCTGAGGGTGATGCTATGGGAGATTTTAGAGTTGTCTGAATGTGGTTGGGTCACTGGTTTTGAAAGTAATTGGGTTCATGTACATCAAAAGTAATACATTTTGTGACATTAGGAGAGAAAAAACTTGATGGCGATTGTTCATAAATAAAATCTTATCCTTTCTTTTAAGTATTTAACATTGTTCTACAGCCTGTTGTTTTAATAATAAGTAGAAATAAGGGCCCAAATCTTCAGTTATAACTAAATAGAAGGTAAATAGCAGT